GGCTTAAAGATATGTTCAAACATCCACAAAGCCATGTGAGAGCTTGTGTATATATGTTAGAAAGACAGAGATAATCTCTCTCTCTCTTAGTAAATAAACAAATAACATATGCATATATATATATATATATATATATACACACACACATATATATATATGTATTTTTTGGGGGGATGGGGGAAGGGGGTGAGAAGGGCAAAGAAATTATAAGAGGTTACACATAGCTTTCAAGAACTAGAAACCACCACAAAGGGGATAACTTTGTTTAGGTTGTTAGTATGGAGATCTGAGGAGCAGGTACTGAGTGAAACCAGGGCTTTTGCTGCTTCTGTGATTTCCCACCTATCTGTTGCAGACTTAGGGTGAGGGGCAACAGTGAAAGAAAAAAATACATACATTGAATAATGCTTTTCTATTCTCCTTTATTAGAGCCTTTAGGAAGAGAATGTCAGTTGTGTATATGCTCAGGGCCTGACTTGATGGAAAACACGTGCAGCTCCAATTTGTTTCAATACGATTTGGAAATCCTGTGCGTGTGTGATGAAAATAAGTTCTAAAGAGCTGTGGCATGGCACGGAAACACATAGTTTTCATGGCAACTAAAAGGTGAAGCTTCATACAATAGGTGAAAAAATTCTCTGCGAATGTCACCTCCTCTAAAGCAAGGTGTGTTTGTGAGTAGGAACATGAAACAAAATCTGTTTATTTACACTTCTTGCAGCAGTGGCAAAGAGATGGAATATGGGATTCTTTACAAAGCTCAAGCACAGAAAGTAAGTGGAAGCCTCGTGATATGATTTGAGCTAGGCTGCTCTTTTTGAGGAATACTGGCACATGGATCCTGTGCATCATCCCCCACACTGAAGAGAAACAGTTCAAGTTTCTTGCTCTTCTCAGAGCACCACACAAAGAGCAGGTGGTCAGTCTGGGTACATGAACTGTCAATGTCCAGAGTGAAAGGACCGTTCTTCAGGTTGGCCTCTCACAGTAACAGCTATGCTTCATCTCTGACATTCAGTAAAGGTATTACGTATATATACTACATGCAATACATTACTGGCAATGCTGACTTCGTCCTGAGCAGAAGTTGCTCTGAAAATTAGAGATAACAAGGTGACAAACCTTTCATAATGGTGCCTTTAGGTACTTGTCTTTGAGCAGAAGTCCCAATTTAGCTGCTGGCAGTCAGAACAAAGGAAGTAACAAGACAGCTATCAAGTCAAAAACCACAGCAGGTTAGGCCTCTGCAATGAGACATACTTAACTCCTAGAGGGCTGGGAGAAGAGAAGGAATTTTTTTGAATCTGTTGTGCGGGTTGCTTATGAGAGAGTCATCATAAAGGAAATGATTTTTTCCCCCAGACTGTGGTTCCAGTATGGGGTACCTAGTATGACAAGGTCCTTTTCCTTTTATCTTGAAGTGCTTACCACCTGCCTTACACAAATTTTCTTGTTGCCAGTCTTGCAGGATCCACTTACTGTCTTTCTCTGTGATAAAATTGTGCTGTTATACATTAATGGCTTTTCCACGTTGGGGCTGTACAATTCACTTGCTAGGGATTACTAACACCAACAACATGTGATAAGCTTGAAATGTAATCAGCACTTTTATATTTCTAATTACCTTAGCATCTAGAGACCTTGACTGAGATTGAAGTCCTCCTGTACCAGGAACAGAGCATTTCCAGCAGCTTAAACTCTAAGCAACAGAAAAAGCAGGAAGGGAGAAATATATACGTGACAGGACCTGACCCATGGAAGTCAGAATTGGAACACAAATCCAAAGTCCTGATTATGATCAGTGACTTGAGATGGGTCAGCTCCCTTAGAGGATTTAGAAAGTACTCAGACCAGTTCCTCTGTTTGTATTAAGAAGATGTTTGTAGATCTCTTGATCGTAGGGCAATTGATAGTCCATGGGAGGAGGAGGGGGATGTTGGGCTAGAATCTCATGTAAGTGACACCTAGAATGCCTAAAAATCGTTACTTTGTGTGTGTATGTGTGCGTGTGTGTGTGTGAGTGGCCTCTTTGTGGTCAGTTGTAAGCATCACATTTACATAGTTCTGTATTTCTAAAAAAGCCTATTGCATAAAGTTGGGATCACACCAAGTGAAAACAAAACACACGCTAAGAAAAAATAGCAAGCTCTTCCAACAATGTTCAGTAACTGAGCTGGAGGTTAGTGCTGTATTCTGGAAAAAAAAAAAAAAAAGAATCCCGGCACCATATGATTTCATACACAAAAAACTTTAAACATTTTGGAGGAACATAACATATGACATAGGGTGTTTTTATTTAACGGATGGCTTTAAAAAATGGGGCCAGTGTCCCCTCTCGTAGATGAACATGGTGTGCCAGGAGAGTTGCTGTACAATGTGTCATCACTTGGGAACCTGAAGAATTGTACTTGAGAAAACATTGCTACAAAATATCATCCCCTTCCCAGAAAGGTTCACTTCAGGCTTTGTAGAAAAACAGAACAACTCATTTCCTCTGAATATAATTCATCTGTTGAGAAATTTTCTTAAAGGCATAGGTTGCTGAGCAAGTAGCTGGAAAACTGTTGGACCTCACAGTAACAAAAAATAGTCCATCATTATTATTACTACTTAGCTCTTGCTGAGCACTTTCCACCCTCAGAGCACTTTACAGACATGAAGCAGGTAATGTTCCAAGCACCTCTGAGAGTGCTGCTGCCTCTCTGTAGCATGGGTGCAGGGGTGCTGCCCCTCACCAGGATGAGGTCCCCAGAGTACGAGCTGCTGCTGGCCAGCCTGAGGTACAGCTTCCGTGGAAATAATATTTCTTTAGTTTCAACATGAGTCTGGAGGGCTTTGCCCAATTTATTATTACCTCAGAGTATTTTATATGATTGGCATGGCTAGCAGAGGAGGAAAAGAAGGGAAGGGAAGGGAAGGGAAGGGAAGGGAAGGGAAGGGAAGGGAAGGGAAAAGGGCAGGGGAAAAGAAGGGCAAAAGAAGAAATGGAAGCTAGGAGACTCTTCAGCTGTCACGAGAATTCTCCAGTTAAGATTCTCCTGTGAGCAATTTGCTGTTTGAGCAAAGTGATAAGCAATAGGTGACGTATATATGGAGCTACACCAGTTTGCAAATTTTGTTTATATGGTGTGTTTTGTTTGGAGAAATTAGGCTAGTGTACAGAAAGAAACTGTTCTATTGATTTAAACTTCCTCTCCACGACAGTATTGCTTGCTGGGACAGCTAAACACAGGAGTGTACGCGGACATTCTGTTCATTGCCCCCAGAAAGTGGAAGAGTCCATTGCCAAGAGGGGAGCATCGTTGCTGCCTTCAGGACGCTGCCAGCCTCACCTGCCTCGGGAGCAGCTCAGTTCCTTCGCCCTGTACGTCAGGCTGGCGGGGAGCCGGGCACGCCGGGCCGATCCCTGTCCTTAGGCTCCCTCTAGAGTTGACACAGGTCTCGCAAAGCCTTCGGCTCGGCTTGGCCACGGCCTCTCGGGGCGCTGCGGAGGAGGGGAGCCGCCTCGAAGGCTCCGGCTCGGTTCTTAGGGCCTGCGCCTCCAACCCCAAACCTCCCGAGAATTTATGGGTGTGCTAGGAAAAACGGGGGTTGTTAGGGAAACAGCATCGGCTCAGGGAGAGCTGAGGGAGGTGAGAGCTTCTGGCTTTCCATGGGTTATGCCACGGCCCTGCTTTCTTCATCCTCAGCGCAGGAGGATGCACGCCGTTGAGCAGCCCAGGTATTATTCTCGATTTATAAGGGAACGCTGAAAACTTTGTTCCCAACTGTATGTTGAATAGCCCGGGTAACCCCCACCCTCTGTGTTTACGGCTCAGACAGTCTCGCCGCTCCACATGCCAACTGTATTAAGCGCTGGGGAGGAGCTCCCCACAAACCCTTCTCCCCGCCCGGCTGCCGTGTCTGCTTTTTGCAAGGCGATGGCGCTCTGGTCTTGCCACATTTCTCCTCCAGGATCCAGTAGTAGTTTTTTTTTTTTTTTTTTCACGCTTCGCTGCTTACTACGGGCAGGCGCGCCTGCCTCTCTCACCATTTGCTATGGCCAGCGGGGCGGGGGGGGGAGGGGGAGAGCTGACTGTAAACAAAACACTTTAGATCATGGCAAGGTCGCTGCAGACACAGCCTTTCTCCTTCGCGGCCGCAGCGATTTAAGGTGGTTTGACAATGACGGGGGCGGGGTTGGGGAGGGTTGGCACGCTGAAACTGCTGGTCCCGGGGGCAGCACGAAGCGACCAAAGCAGAAAGGTTTTTGCCCGAGAGGAACTTTTTTTTTCTTTTTCTTTTTCTTTTTTCTTCTCTTTCTTTTCCAAGCGCTACAGGGAGATAAATCAGTGCTCTTTTCAGCTGCCATCATGTCTGCGGGTGTTTATCCGTCAGGCTACGCTGTATTTTCCAGTGTTTGCTTCCTATTATTACCAATCATAATAATTTATTATTATTGGCATGGTTTTGCACTGTGTCATAATCCTGCCATCAAGGATTCTGGTTACAGGAATCAGGCAGTGGTTCCCAGCAAGGCAGAGCAGTAGGAATTCCCTATCTCAGATGGTTTCAGCAGGTTATGGGGGAGCTGCTCAACAGACTGCTTTCCTGCTATGTACCCAGTTGTGCACAGCTAAGAAAACAACCCGAGTGTCCCACACCTCACATGAGAAGTGGAGAATTCTGAAATGGCACTACCTTAATGATAGCTAAGTTAAAGGCAGGAAAGCCTGGGGAAGAGAAAACGAAGTCCTCAAATGAAGCAGATGAACAAGTCCCACTTTGCCAGCTCGCACAGTTTTGGTTTTTTTTCCTTTTTTCCCCACAGAGTTACTACTTCAAAAAACAAAACAAAACAAAGAAACCCAACAACAAACACCTAAGATGCAGACATGGGGATGTCAGCTTCAATTCTCTGTGAATTGGTAGATCTTGTGGTTGCTGAGAGGAGCTGGAAAACAACTTGTGGTAAAAGTTCTGTGAAGCAAAAATAACAGGGCTAACATTTTATTTCAACCTTGTGTTTTTCAAACATTTTTATTTTTCTCTTTGGCTGCACACATCACTTTTTGAATTCAGGGCTGACAAGACCAGGCTGACCCAGGAGAGCAGGCTGAGCAAGGTGGGGGGCTGCTGCCTCAGGGAAGGAGGCCCACAGACAATTGTGCCCTGGGGATAAGCACTGCATGCTGATTCTGTTCCCTTTCCAATGCCTGCACAGGTGAGGCCCCAGTCCAAAACAGCAACTGCAGGGTAAGTTTTGGTGGCCGGTCACAACTGCAAGGCCTGAAGCAAAACGTGTGTGAGTACAGACATGGCAAAAGCTCCCTATCTTCAAGGCCTCAAGATTTGGGACAGTTGCACTTTGCAGAGGGTGCCAGGCCAGCCACTTTGGTATGTAGCCCCCAGGTAACCTGGGCCCTGGGGAAGTCCCAGACCTCCAGGATCTGAAAACAGACCTTATGTCCTGTGGGGCTGTCCTGAGTAAGGGATGCTGGCTGTAGAAAGGAGTGGGAACAAGGAGGGCTAGGAGGAGAACACTGGACTGCTCTTAACTCCAGCGGACCTGCTGTAGGAATCAGAGGAATGGCTCAGAAAACCCTGTCCATGACTCCTGACTCAACTAATCTGCAAAACACACAAACTGCACAAACTTGAAGGCTTTTATTTGCTTTCCCCTGCTAACTCAGAACACAGGTCCCTGCTGAGAATTCTTACAGCTACTTCCACACCTGGGCCCCCCCTGCCGGCAGGGCAGCAGGAGCCTCTCCTCACTCTCTCCTTTTCCCTCTGCGGGCAGCACGACGGGGTTGCGGGGCAGCGACCCACTCCCTCGCCCCAGCTGGGTTGCAGCTCCCGGCCCGCTCTGACTTCCAGACCCGGTGAAAGCAGAGCGATGGCCATAACGAGTCAAAATGCAGCTAGCCCCCTCGACTTGCACAACTTTCACCATACTTGACTCCGCAGCGGGAGGCGGGTTCACGTGCGCGGAGCGGTGCAGAGCGCCGTGCCGTGCCGTGCCGTGCCCCCCACACTCTCCCCGCCCGCCAAGGGGCGGCCGCCGGCCAGGGCCACCTTTAGAGCCGGCGGCGGCTGCGAGGTATGGCCGTGCCGACGGGGCGGTGCCGTCCGCCGTAACCAATGGCTCGGCTCCGCTGTTTAAATAGACTCGTCCTGTCAATCATTTTCTCCTTCGTCAACCTCCCTTCAATCGCCATATTGGGAACTGAGAAAAGGGCTCGTCTCGGCTTGTTTTTTTTCCCTCTCCGCCCGTACGACGTGGCCGTGGGGAGAGCGGCGGGGCCGTGCGGGCAGCGGTGGGGCCGTGCGGACAGCAGCGCGAGGGCGCCCCCGGGGCCGCGGAGGGCAGCGCCGCTCCCCGCTCGGCTGCTCCCCTCCGGAGCCGCCCGGGCTGCCCGGCGGCGGCTGTCGGGGTTCGGCCGGCCCGGCGCTTATGCAATTGCGCGCTGCCGCCTCTCCTCCGCGGGCCGAGGCGGGGCCGCAGAGAGGGGGCCGTACGGAGAGAGACCGCGGAGGGGAACCTGCGAGCGGCCGCGGGTAAGAAGCGGAGAGGAAGAGCGGGGAGAGCCGCGAGAAAACCCACCGCCATCGGTGACGGCAGAAAGGGAGGGGGAGATGTCAAACGTCCGCATTTCTAATGGGAGCCCTACCCTGGAGCGCATGGAGGCGCGGCAGTCGGAGTACCCGAAGCCGTCGGCCTGCAGGAACCTCTTCGGGCCGGTAAACCACGAAGAGTTAAACAGGGACTTGAAGAAGCACCGCAAGGAAATGGAAGAGGCATGCCAGAGGAAGTGGAATTTCGATTTCCAGAACCACAAGCCGCTGGAAGGCAGGTACGAGTGGCAAGCCGTGGAGAAGGGGAGCTCGCCCGATTTCTACTTCAGACCGCCGAGGCTACCCAAAGCCGTTTGCAGGTCCGTCGGCCGTCAGAGCCTGGATGTAAACGGGAATTGCCAAACCGCGATTTGCGCCGCTTCTCAGGGAATCTCAGAGGACACTCACTGTGTAGGCCGAAAGACTGATGTTGCTGGCAGTCAGACGGACTTTGCAGAGCAGTGCGCCGGGCAGAGGAAAAGACCCGCCGCCGACGGTAACGTAACCCCGCGGGCAGCGCCGCGCGCCGGGCCCGGCACCCGCCTCCTCCCGCCGGAACGGCCCCGGTGCCGTGCGCAGCACCGGGAGCTCCGCGGTCGGTGGGGGCCGGGGGTGAGAGCCTCGCGTCCCTCGGCACCCCTCTCGGAGGAGAGGAGGGGAGGCTCCATCGCCAGACTTGGGGCGAAACTAAAACGCGCATCTCTTGCCGAGAGAGAAGCCTGCCCGTGCCCACCTTCGCGTAGCCCGGTAGCTGACGTAGGGATGCGGGGATGTGCGGGAATAAGCCCCGGCCCCGTCGCGCCTCCCCCCCCTGGTGCCGAGCGAGCACCTTGCGGGACAATATTTTAAACCAGTGTTCTCCCCCCTCCCCCCCTGTTTTTAATTTTCCCCTCCTAGATTCCTCTCCTCAAAATAAAAGAGCCAACACAACAGAAGAGGAGGTTTCAGAAGACTCCCCCAGTGCCAGTTCAGTGGAGCAAACACCCAAGAAATCGAGCCCGAGACGACATCAAACGTAAACTCCCTAAGTAGGTTCCCTTCGGGCTCTGGGCGTTAGGATGCCGTGGGGGAAGCCGCGAGGGTCTCCTGCTGGGGGCCGGCTGCTGGGGCCGCAGTGACCAGGTGGCCAGGTGGCCCCGCTCTTCTCCCCGAGCTCCTGGGGCCGTGCCGGCCGAGGGATGGGGCTCGACGCGGGGCGGGGGTCTGGGGGGGCTGCCCCACCTCGGCGCTATTGCCACTGTCCCACCTTGGCAGGGAGCTGCAGCCTAGCGGAGCTCTAGGGTCGTAAAAGCCGGGCTGTTCGGGAGCCTTTCGGTCTGAGTAAGACGAGGTGGTTCTCCGTTCTTTTATTTTATTTTATTTTATTTTATTTTATTTTATTTTATTTTATTTTATTTTATTTTATTTTATTTTTTTCTCCCCCCCTCACCCCCTCCCCGGTTGTTGTGGTTTAGTTTTAGGCGCTGGCTCAGTTTCCAGGGAAGGGAGCGGGTTAATGGCAGCCGTGTGTGGTGTTCTTGTTGTTGTTTTGTTTCAGCGCGAGGGCTGGGGCGGAGGGAGGTGGTACATCGCGCCGGCGGTTTCGGGGCCGAGGTTAGCGGGGAGGTTCGCAAACGCGGTTCGCGATTGTGCCGAAGAGATTAAGCTGTAAAGCAGAAGTTGCAACAAATTACTCCTGCTGGGGGGAGCCGCGGCGGAGCGCGTCAGCCCTCGCTTCTATGCAAATGCCGCACCACCGCCCGCTCCTTTGGGGCGGGGGCAGCTCCGCGGCTCGGCGGCTGCCCGGCCCCGCGGGCTCCGAGCGGAGGCGGCCGACGGCCCTGGGGCGGCGCAGCCCCGACGGGAGCGGCCGGGCTAAGAGCGCCGCGGGGCCGGGACGCCGCAGGGCCCTGCCCGGGGTAGGCCTGCCCGCCGCGGGGAGCGGCGTCGGCTCGGACCGGTGGCGCCCGGGGAAGGGAGTGCGTCGCTTTCAGCTTCTCTAATGTCTTCTCCCTGTCTTCTTCCCGTTGCAGGGCGGAGGACTCGCGTTTCCTTGCTCATCGGGGGGCGGTGAAGCCAGGAAGATATAAAGTTGTAGTAGAGATGAATACATATCGTCGGTCTCCGTGGGATGGGGACCCTGTGCAAGCACTGAAAAACAACGACAGCAAAACAAAAAAAAAGCAGACAATAACACTAAAAATTTAGACACTCTTAAAAGACCTGCCTCTAAAAGCATCGGATGTAGCATTGTGCAATTAGGTGTTTCCTTATTTGCTTCATTGTACTACCTGTGTATATAGTTTTTACCTTATGTAGCACATAAACGTTTTGGGAAGGGGGGGAGAGGAAGAAGGTGACCGATCGAAACTTGCTTTCGCCATCTAGCAAGCAAAGAAATGAAGAGAAGCAGTGTAGGCTTTTTATTCCTTAAAGATGTATTGTCCCTTTAAGTGGGTCCCCTGTGTTTTTATTTTTTCCTCGCACCACGGTGGTAGTGCTGCTCACAGCAGATGCCTGCAGGCCGCCATCAGAGCCCTCCCCTCTGTGCTGGGCTGAAGGGGTGGGAGGCGGGGTGATCCCCCACCTTAAATCCCTGTATGAAATTGGAATGCCTCTACACTCTCACAAATTCACCCCATTTGCTACATCGCTGGATTTATTATTTTTTATTTTTGGAAGGGTATCTCCAGTGTTGCTGTTTTCTGACCTGGCCCACATCCTTTCGTCCTTACGTGAGGGAAGGGGATACTACATCTTTAAACAGTATTTCTACATTGCCTGTGTACCTGTATGTAAAAATAAAAAAAGAAAGTTTGAAGTGTACCTGTGTACATAACTCTGTAAAGACACTGAGAAATTATACTAACTTATTTATGTTTAAAAGATTTTTTTTTAATCTAGAAAACAGTATTTTTCCCCATAAAGCCAAAGCGGCGTGTTTTTGTGCATTTGTAAATGCTCTATTTGGTAGACTTCTTAGAGGTTTTTTTTTCTTTTTTTTTTTTTTTTTTTCCTTCCTTCCTGATAATATGGCTGTGCTTAAAGGATTGCAGACTGAGCCAATTCCATATTTTTTGTAATGTTTGGGGAAAAAAAAAAAAAAAAAAAAGCAGAAATACGGATCGATGTTGTTTCACGGCGAGCAATCAATAAAGAGAAGTGCCATCTGTAAGAGCCATGTCCTTCCTGAGTGTGTGTGTGCAGCTCGCAGGGGGCTGCCTGGCGTGTCGGCCTGGCACAGGTGGAGGGATGCAGCCCTCGGTGCTGTGCTAGTTCTCAATGAGAGTTGGGATGAACGTGTCCTCTTCAGTTCTAAGTTGTGGAACGTCCCCCCATCACAATTGATCATTTGTTTTTTTTCTATTTTACGTAACTGTGAAGCAGCTCGAGACGCTGTTGTTTTGGTGTAGACCCGAGGGAAACACCTCAACCCCGAGCCCAGTGGGCCGGTACCGTGCTCTTGGTCCCCATCAACCCCTCGTTCCGGGTAGGCCAGAGCCAAAGCTTACACCCCCCCCCCCCTCCAGCCCAGAGTACGGCTGCTTCCGCGCCGCCAGGCGCCCAAACCCGAGGTCTGGGCCCGGGGCCTGCCGGCCCGCGGCCTGGCGCCGACCAAGCGCCGCGTCCCACCCTCTCCCGCCGCCTCGGCGCTAAGCAAGATGGCGTCTGGCCCCGCCGCCCGAGCACCGCTGCGGGCAGCCCCCGGCCCAGCCCGTCTCCCTCTCCGCGGACTCCCCCGGCTGCCACAGATCGGGGCGAGCCCGGCATTTGCGCTGGCAAGGTGCGGGTGCACCCCCCCCTCCCCTGGAACACAGCGAAGGAGAGGATTTTCATCGTGCGAAAATGAGCGCAGCGCGATGGAAAGGGGCGGGGGGTGGGGGAAGCCCTGGGCGAGTCTTCTCCGAGTTCCCCCCGCTCTGCAACTCGATCCGGCTGTTGATCGCGGTGGCGCTTGGGCTCGCCCTCGCGTTGGAACCTCCCGAAAACGCTGTGCTGAGGCGGGGAGGGACGGGACGGCCACTCGGCTTTGTCCCCGGCCGAGGAGAGCGCAGAGCCGGAGCTTCCCGGGGACTAACGAGTATTTTTTCCCCCCAAGACAAACAAAGTGCTCGGGGGAGCTGCTGCAAGCAAGTCCGCCGCCTCAGTTTCTTTTTTTTTAGGGTTTTTATTTTTTTTTTTGATAGGTGATGGGGCTTTCCGCCCCGCTCTCTGCCAGTCCCCTCGCCCTTCCCGTTTGGCGGGACCGGGGGAGGGGACAGCCCCTCTCCCCCCGCCCGGCTTGTTGTTGTGGAGGGGCTTGGCGGCGGAACCTCCGCAGGAGGAAGCGGGCGGAGCGGGGGGGAGGGGGCGGATTTAAGGTAGCGCGAGTAACGCAGGGCTCAGCCGGGCCGAGGAGCAACTGTTTTTTGTTTTTTTTTTTTTTTTTAATTATTATTTTAAAATATCATTTTATTCCTCCCCGCCTCTGCCCCGTCGCAGCCTTTCCTCTTCGGGCGGCTGGAGGCAACCTTGCCCCGCTGCTCCGCTCCAACAGCGCCGCTCCCGGCACGGCAAGGGGGAGGCGGGCGCGGACGGGGCGCGGCGTGCTGGGCCCGGCCCGGCCCGGCCCGACTGATGCAATAGGCGCGGCTGCCCTGCTGCCCCGCGGGAGCGCGCACGCAAGCGCGCGCAACCACCCCCTCCCCTCCCCCCCGTCTGACGGTCCGCTCTGCGTGCCTCCGCGGCGGGAACAGGGTGTCGGGTGTGGGGCAACGCGAAGTCTTCAGATGCCCGTCTCTATCCGTGCTTCTGGGAAGCTCCAGATGACAAAACCTGGAGAAAAAGAACTTTGTAGTTTTCAAAAGAGAATATCCCCCTTCAGAAACACCAACGCATTTACCTTCAGCATCTTTTTGTTTTGATGTTTTCATCTTTTCATTTTAAAATACTTCTTTTTCTGCATTTAAAAAGTAATCTATTATTCTCTTGTTACTTTTTTGATTGTATCTTTTTTTTTTTTTAATATGCATCCAATGAAAATATTTACTGTAGAATGACAAAAACAAAATGCCTTGTCAGGTTTACAATACAGTAATTCCATTATATTGTGTAAGGTGTTTTGCCCAGTCTTGAGATGAGATGTTTTCTGGTTTGATTTTGCTGGTAAATCCTTGAAAACATTCTCTTCCTTATTCTATTTCTTCTTTTCCCCACCAACATCTGGTATGCTTACTGAGCTGAAGAGAGGTATTTTCAAACTGGCCAGTCTGTATCTGCACGGCACTCGCAGTGTCATCCAGCTGGGCTTCCTCCTCCATCCAGTGTGCATTTCTTCAAAAAGAAAAAAAAAAAGAAAAAGTACTTTTTTTTTTTTTTTTAAATTGAAAATAAAAACTCATGACTAGTTTACTTAAAAGGTGGGGGAAATGTATGTTTTCCTATGTTGTTTTGGCTGAATACAAAAAGTGCAGCTGCCTAAATCAGCATCAGACCACCCACTCTTCCTCTACTACTGCCTGAAGAAGCAAAATACAACAGGGAGCAGTTAGAAAAATCCTCTTAAAGGAGGTTACCCATGAGGCAAAATTAGCTCTGACAAGTGAAAGAGCCCCAGAGCTTTGCCCCCCCATCTTCCTCTGTCATCCTGGAGCTGCAGTTCAGATGTGTTAGGATGCCCAGATGCAGTGAGGATCTCTGATTTTGTCAGATGCCCTGATTTCGTCGGGTGTCCCAGATGTGTTGGAGAGCCCAGATTTGGCGGAGTGCCTGCCTGGACTCTCAGAGCAACAAAAGCAAGAGGCAAAGGCCTGTGCCTTGCGGTGCAGGCAAAAATCCTGCTGACTGGCAGGAGGTGGAAACGAAGTGGGAGCTGCCCCTTTCCCAGCTCTTGTTACAGGGTGCTGTGATAAGCAGGAAACTTTGCCACTTGTTAGAGGGTCAACTTCCAGCCCTACAATGTCACTGCTGCATGGGTGCCTGTCCCAAGGCTTATGGCCAAGGTTGTGTGGTATAGACAGTAGATAAGTGTGAGAGAGGCCCTCACGTGGAGGCCAAAACTACAAGTTGAAAAGGGCTTGCTGTTAGGACTGACTCCACACAGACTGAATGTGGGGACTTGATGTGCCAAGCAGGGTCCCTGCACCTTGCTGATGGGGCAGGGTGGAAGAGCTCCGTAGGAGGCTATCCATGTGGAAAGAAGGCCAGAGCTCCAGGGCTGAATGTGCTGTGCATTTTTCCTGCCAGATGGGAAGCCTGGAGTTGATGCTTTAGGCTTTGCAATGTAGCAGACTTCAATCTTTCTCTTATGATTTTTTTTTCCTCTCCTTTTCTTTCCTCTTGAGTTCCTATTTGAGCCACCAGCTTCCCTCTTTATTAATGTCATTCTGCTTGGAGATCGGATTCAGAAGGGAAGACACATGTGAACTCACCTCTATGGGCAGGTTATTATTTGCGAAGGGAGGCTCAGGGGAGGAGAGACCTCTACTGGCTGCACTCGAGGAGCCGCTGCCGGGCTCTGTCTGTGCGTCTGCCTGCAGCCGAGGTGCTGCAAGGGGTTTCTCGCTTGCTCTCGCCATACCTACTCTGAAAATGACCTCGGGGGTCACTCTCAAGGAAAACTGAAAAACAAACCTCTTGTGTTTTCCCACTTAAAAAAAAAAAAAAAAAAAAAAAAAAAAAGCACAGCATGTAGAGAGTCACTTAGGACTCCAGCAACCTGATTGGTAACAGTGCTTAATGCAGTAAGAAAACTGGCTTATTTCTTTTGGAAGGGGTGAAGCATGGGCATTGAAGCATGGGAGAGAGTTAGAGGCTTGTTGGTACCACAAGACAAGACACCGGGCTGTTTTCATCTGCTTCATTGATTTCAGTTGCCTTTTATTCCCTTTCTGTCCTTTCTCCCAACAGGCAGCAGGATGGCTTTGCCAGCTGTCCCTTTTGGGTCAGCATTTAGCAACCTGCCCCTGCTGCCAGACAATTGAACGGAGGTCAGCTCCTACCTGAGGCCATGCCTAGGGTTAGCAGTTAGGGGATGCTTGTCTTCTTGGCTTGAGGAATAACTAGGTTGAATTCAATGTTGTTTTTTTTTTTTTTTCTTTTTTTTTTTCTTCTTCCAGCAAAGCCACCTGTATTTGAGCATAAGTACTGCAAAAGAGGGCTTGGTGTTTGCAAGCAGGTGGAGCTGGGCAAGTCATAGCAGTCTGGGAGTGGAAGGCCTTGAAATCCTGACCTTCCAGTTTCACCTAATGCAATGTAGGCAGTAGTTTCACAGCTGGTACAGCCTACACACGGACTTAGGCATCCCTTTCCTTCCTCATCCAGCCCACTCATCTCATCCTGCCAGGAAAGTTACATGAGGAACTGGATCAGGGAATGGAGCTGGCAGAGATTTCCCACTTTCTCTGCTTTGATGCTTTGTTGTTTTTTTTTTTCCTTTTCAGCTGGAAAGATTTCTGGTCTAGCTCATTACGGAACTGCACCAACAGCTCTTAACAGCACAGTAGGTGGGAGAAGGAGCAGTTTAGCAGCACTGCCACAAAATTGCTGCCTGGAAGCTGGTACTGTCTTCTTCTGGCTTTGCATCAAAGCAAAACCTAATAGCCTTGTGAAGGGAAACTGCCATCTATCTTACAGCAAGGAGGCTTGCAAGATGGTGTCACGGAATCTCCAACAGCACAGCCCAGGCTCTACCTTCCAGATTTCATCTCACACTTCTGGCCAGCTAAGTCTGCTCCACAAATGACCTGCAAGCTGTGTAGTTAGGGAAAACAGAAGGTAGAGTAGTGCTGATGGCCTATAGTTTTGTGTTTGTCTGTCAAGCGGCCTTCTTCATGGAGACATCACAGACATCTACCATGTTGCAGTATTTTTGTAGGAAAGTAATGTAGTGTGTAGGGTGAAAAGGCAGAAAACCTGCTTAGCATCCCTGGGCAGCTTGGAGTAGTAGATTCTCTCAGCATGCTGAGAGACCTCCACAGCAAAAGCACTTTCTTTCAAAACTCACTCGAAGAAGTTGCTCCGTCACCAGTTTTCACGTCCTTCTCTTACACTCTCCTTTACTGTTTCCCTTTTGCCAATGATTGCATGGTTAGGGCCTCACTGTTTTGAAGACATCTATTGCTTTCCCCGAGGGACCAAAGTTTGTTTTCTCTCTGGAATGTCCTGAGTGATGAGTTATTGGCTTACCTGGGTC